GTACTGTACTAATATGATTTTCTGTTGTTTTCATTTGCCTTTTTGTGCCAGGGAAACTACAAAGATATGCCTCTCTACATTGTTGAAGCTCAGTCTCTTTCTCCTCTCATCCGAGACGCAGAGCTGAACAGCCACTCACTGTCCGTGCTGCTGCATGGAGCACATTGGTATTTGAGTGCAATTTGTGCCAGTGCTGGAAAATGGAGGTGATTATTTCTCCAATATCCAAGGTGAAATTAGCAACACAACATTCAGCCAGTGCAAAATTGATGCGACACAACAGATAAACATCATATTATTTGCCGAGACGGCCGATGTCAGTCAGCAAGGTGAATGTTGGCCGATACACGATGAATCGGTGCATCCACACAGCAAATATGTTTAAAGTGTCTGTGTGTTAAGATGTGACTAAGTTATGACTCAAGGAAACAGTGTGCTTATTCACTCAAATTGCAGCAATTTACGGAAATTGACCTGCACTATTTTCGACTCGTGTTTCTCGCTTCCTTTCTCCCTTTCCTGTGCCACCCTGAGGAGGTGCCTCACACTTGGAAAACCTCTTGTCAAGATGAATGAAAACTAGGAAAACGCAGGGCAGCATTCGGCCCTATAAAAGAAGAACGATTGTTGATTTGTTTTGAGTGGATATATGAACCACTGAGAAAAGGGACAGATTTAAGCAAAGCCTTTATGACTTTTCCACACTGTTCTCTGGTGACATTACACAACTAAAACTAAAACAGGTTATAAAGTGAGTATTTACTACTAATACAAACTAAATCTTTATCTGACCCCGACTGGCAGGGTGATGAGCTACAAGTATGGACTAGCAACTCCACACAGTTTATGGCCAATCAGAGTGAATGGCACAAACTCTTGCTGACTGGATGCCATAAAACGGCAAAAGAAGAGGAAGATATGGGAACATGCACACACACACACGCAGAAATAGAGATGCACTCTAAAAACAGTTAAAAGGAAGTTTTGCTAGTTTAGCTTCGGCTGTTCAGTGTATCATTTAAATAAAGCGACACGCTGTTTTCATGACTCTCTTCATAACATACCTGCTTCCTGGAGCAAACAGCAGCTATTGTTTTCAGTAACTCGCCATTTCCCAACTCCTCAACCACACTGACGCAAGCCCTGTTACACTGAGCTCTTGTGTAAAAAAAAAAATGTTTTTTTCTCATTCTGCTCTTGAACTACACCAACCTGCCGGAGATTGGACATACAGAGGGAGGAACAAGCAATAAACACAGACTTAAACCAACTGAACAATGTTAGGTTTCTACTTATGATTGTCTTCCCTGCCTTCAGGAGGAACATTACAAGACAGGGCAGATGCTTCCTCAGAGAAAAGGAGAGATCCTTTTGACATGGACATGGCTTGGTGGAGACATGAGTCAGGGAACAGGTTCAAAGTACCTGTCAAGTGTGACTTGCTCAATAGCTCTGCAGACTGCAGACACAACGCCATCTCCTCTGGCCTACCCTTTCATACTACATCCTTATCACCCGCCATCCTGACAACTTTTCCTTATTTCATTTCACATATCTCTGCTCCGTCTATCTTATCTCTGATCTATCCACCAATTACCGTGATTTATTCTTGCGTACCATTATTGAACATGGACTGGCTAGTTTCCAGTGAGGAACCAACAACTTGTTTTCCTCTATTTTAGATTTTCTCTCCTCATGTGTCGGTGTGACATTTGACAACTTTTCCAAATTGCCACAGCTCCCATCTGTAGGAGCGGAGTCACAGATGGGTCGAGAGGTCCATGCATGAATAGTGCTGCTGAGAATGGCTCTGTGTGTGTGTGTGTGTGTGTGTATGTGTGTGTGTGTGAGAAAGTAGCCGTGACCCACCAGGCCTCATGGGAAGCTGCAGCTAAACTGATGGATGCCAAGGAACGACAGAGGGAGGGAGGGAGGGCAGGCGAGGGAGGGCAGGGGAGGCAGGGAGGCAGGGGCGGGAGGGAGCGCTGGCACAGCCAAGTAGGAGACAAGTGCCTGTACTGCAGCAATGCAGGAGCGAGGGGAGAGGGATGTCAATGAAATAAAACAAGAAAAATATGGAGGGAAAAAAGTGTTGATGGAAAACAATGCAGTACACAAATGCCAAGCGGTGCAGCATAGTTTGAGATGATGTTAGCAAGGCTAACAAGTTTATGCAACCTGATTTTCATTCTACTGGAGTTTCTGTACGGTGCCATTGTTTGGCTGATGTATTCTCCTCCTACTGCAGTTATAACAATACCATCCTCGGCCCTACCTAGCAGAGACAACAAGCCCTGGCAAGGCAAACACTCCCTGCTGAATCTCCCATGTCTCCTCCCTCCCCTGCCCTCTGAACAAACAGCTCTCCCTCCGGAGGCTACGTGACAGTGAGAGGGACACTCGGGACTATCGACTAGGTCCCTCTCAGCTCTGTTGTTTCACCCCGTGGTGAACAAGGCCTTGCTAGGACAACCAACTGCTGATGCTTTTACATCCATGCAGCGTAAGTAATGTATATATTTCCTCTGCTCTCATCCACCGACCTTCCCCCAATGTCTTGCCGAGCGGCCCGCTGCAGTAAAATGTAAACACAGTCCGAGGGAAGCCTCTGCTCGTTTTTCACCATACAACCGCCCCTACCCTGTATGAACCGGTGCCTGCCTTCTACATTTCATACAGCCCAATGACACATAAATACACATGCAGCAGCACAAACAAAGCACACCGAGCGCACACTCACTCCCATGCACGTAACCGCACAAACAAGCACAGAAAGAAGAGGAGGTGAGCTAATGCACTGCTATCCACAGCAGAATGATTGCAAGCACTCAAGGAACAAATATCCTGTTCTCATCATAAAATTTTCATCCAATGCAAAGCTTGTTGGTGGGCCAAGCGCATTTCCTGGTGAAAAATATACACACTTAACCTTGAGGTGATCTTTTTAACATAATGCGTCTGCTTTATTGGATTCTAGCTGGACCTTACTCACAGGAATACCAAGTGCAAAGAGTTGTGGTTTGGCCAAGTTTGAGAATGGGGGAAGGGCACAGTGGCAGCACTGAGAAGTTCTTCTGATGGATCTTATGACTGGTCATCATGTTCTATTAGAAGGACACTGATATGACTCCACGTACCGAGAACATTGCAACCGCGTTGCGCTAATCCTCAAGTGATACCATGTAGGAACTAAATACAGTCACACAAACATATGATAATTAAAACATCTGCAGTAGGAAACCATTTCACTGCACATACTGAAAATATGAGTATGTGACACATTAAAATAAGCTGGCAAGAAAAGCTGCAGCAGAGCTTTCTAAATGGACCTTGTCGACTGCTGTTTCCAAGGTCATGAATTAACTGAAACTCAATTAAAACTGAAACAGCAAAGCATTAGTGGTGTCACAATCTGTGCTAAGTATGTCACTGGCCCTCGTACTGTAGATTCCAGGTGAGAACTACGGTGTCTGGTATGATTGATGGTCAATATCCGTATGTTTTGCTCCTGTCATACCACACAAACCTTCAAGTTACACTGACACTAGCTATGTGTAAAACAACAGACATTATAGTGCTTTCAGTTATTTGTCGCAGATATGTTACTGCCACACAACACTGCAGAATAAAATGAGAAAACTCTTGCAGGATTGCACCACAATGCAATCCAACAACAGATGGCAATAGTCAATCAAATTTATAACTGAGGAAGAAATTAATTTGGCATTGATGTCACGCTACTGGGCCCAGCAAGAGACATGAACACAAAAACACAGACTCATCCATTACAGTACTTTGTCAGATAACAAATTTCGATTTGAAAGCTGCGTGAGTACCAGACAGTGGAAACTGTATTAAACATAAAGTCAATTAAGTATATTATGATAACTTATGTGACTCTAATTTAACTGTGCTGATGTTAAAAAACAGAAAGACAAAAAATGGAACTAATCATTATTAGTAATACCTTTTTGAATGCACACACAAATATTAACTTCCTGTTTCACACACACAGCAGTGTTGTGGCGGAACAACACGGTGGGACGCTTTTGATACGCTTGCTCTCGCATCAAAGCGAAACAGCTTGTTCTCCACTGATGCATGGCACATTGCACTTGCAAAACTCACTTGTGTTTAGAATCCAAATACATACATGTCAAAAAGCTGATTTGCAGGCCATATTAAGGTTTGATGGGAGACTGGCTTCATATGGCAGCGCACACTGCTTCATGTCAACAACACTGAATCAAGGCAACGACAACCCGGCGGAGCGGCTTGCTTTGAACAGTGGGATTTTCTCCTTGGAAATGGCTTTATCAAAATACTGCTACCCAAGGACCTCAACAACCTTCAAAAATCCCCCCCCACCCCCACCAAATTGTCCTTGCATGCTAATCACAGGTAAACGGAAAATAATAGAAACAACAACAGATTATTCCCTAGTCAAAACAGGGACAAGTGGTGAAGGATTATTTGGAGTTGGATGTCAGGAGTTTTAATAGTCAATATCAATCCAAAAATACATAAAGACTGAGGCTGCCAACACAAAACATTTTGTGTTGAATGTGGGGTTCAGCACAGTTTTATTACACAGCAATAAAACCAACCATAGCTACTGAGATTCTTATGGTAGTTGGCAGCTTTAAAGCAGAACGTCGCAATTTACACTGACTGCCAACGTGCAAGTGGCCAATATTGATCAGATATCTAAAACAATCTGAAATCTTGGCCTCATAATGACACAACAATATTCTGACTGACCTTTCCAAATGACTTTAAAAAATGCAATAGGGCGATGAAGGCGTCGGAAAGTGCTGACGAAGCTGATGCTAACTGCTGTTCCACATCAATGAGCCACACACACAACTGACCTAATAACTATGGATTTTCTCTCGAGGCTGTACGGCACAGAAATAATTTGTGTCCAAAATGAGACAATCTGTTAATCTGTCAGTAACTTTCTGAAACACACACGCACACATGCATGCAGACACACTAACCTGTGGAGACAGGGCAGTGGGAGGCTGGGTGAAGAGTGTGGAGTGGGCTGCTGACCGTAGGCCATGTGCTCTCCTGACAGTCTGACGGGTGAAAGGAGCAGACAGTACCTCCTGCTGAAGAAAGGACACAAACAGACAGAAATGTCAAGCTGGGGAGCATCATCGGTAGCTTAAAGTGGAAACTAAGTGTTTGGGATAATCACAATACAAACGGAAAAAATAGCAAACCTCATACTAAACAGCCACCATCAGGAGCTACAGCACATTGCTATGAGCTAAAAAGAGGCTTAAAATAATGAAGCGTGAAAGTGGTAGTTGTGTTTTATTTTCTATTCCCCGTCACAGGCCAGGGCAATTTCCTTTTTCTGCAATTCAAACAAACCATGTGGTCGGCGTTGTGTGAGTGCAAGACAGTAGAACTATCATGTGAAACTTTGTGTACGCTGGGGAGAGTGCGTGAGGCATCCGTCTGCTGCTGCGACTGTCAATCAGCTATAAAAGAGCTGACCCGCCTGCAGCTGCTCCACAACTAAACCAGGATTAGCGTTCAGTTTTTTTTTTATCCACTATCTATGAATTAGGTTGCTTACAAGCTGAGTGCTATCATGCTAGAGGAAATGCATAAAATATGGTTGCTTTGATGTTTCTGGTGATGTGAGAATTTGTGGGCTTGTTCGAATAAACAGAGAGATTTTTTTCCCCCACAGATGTCTGTTTGTGTGTGTGTGTGTGTGTGTGTGTGTGTGTGTGTGTGTGTGTGTGTGTGTGTGTGTGTGTGTGTGTGTGTGTGTGTAGGCAGGTGTATGACAGAGGGTCACGGTAGACTGGAATGACTAAAATACTTTCACCTTCAAGTTAGTGTGTGCACTCAGATGTTCCCTGCCTCCTGGCACTGGGGAAAGATAAGATGGAGATAAAGTGGGATACTCTTCCATTGTAAACACTGAGAGCACCTTGAACACACACTGAACAACTAGTGCAACCCATTAAATTCTCATATTAGGCTCATATATGTGGAGTTGTTCAGCCTCTGGGAGGGGGGATCTGATCACAGAGATTTTTACAACACAAACGGCTCAGTACTTTAACGCACCCACAAAGTTGCTCTGGGCGTGCCACGGTAAGCAAACATCCGCAAAGGTCAGGCATGAAGATTACATAAAAAAAACATGATACAGTTAGGACCTGATTTACTAAAATACCAAATAAGACGTGCTAAACAGAGTTTGACAATGTGTGGGAGGGCAGGTGCAAACAATGAAACATGCAAATATTGAATTAACTAAAACTAAACTAAAACAACACAGGAGTGATTTTAACCACTTAGTTTGTCTGATCATATTTGAGCTTTGTCTTAATTTAAAAGTCTCTTTGCACTACTGTTTACAAACAGAAATTTTACATGTTTAATCATGTTTTCAGCCACACTATGATTCAATATATAATGTACACTGAATATGAAGCCTTGCTCTGACCAAAGGTAACGTAATCAGACTACAAGCACCTCACTAATTAACAAGTTATACCCTAAAAAACGGATATTTTGTTTATGGGGGGCAATGTGGCGGACCATTTCTTGGCTGGGTGCAGTAACTTCCTGGAGTCTTTGCTGGTTGCCTGGTGACAAAAAATAGCTTCATATTAAGTGCACAGACATGAGATTGCTATAAATCTCTTCACCTAGAAACACTGAAAATATGCATATTTACTTTAAATAAAGTGTGTGAATTCAATGAGTTTTTTCATAAGTTGTTTATAAATGTAAGCTATCCTTCAGTCAGTCCATTCTCATAAGTGCCTCTTCAGGGCTACAGGAGGCTGGAGCCCATCCCAGCATGCATTGGCCAAGAGGGCACTCAAATTGACACCTATATTCACAACTAAGAGCAATTTAGAGTCGCCAATCCAACAAACCTGCATGTATTCGGACTGTGGCAAGAAGCAGACATGGGGACATGCAAACTCCACTCAGAGAGGCCACATGTGGCTGGTGTTCTCCCGCTGTGAGGTGACAGAGATGACCACTAAGCCGCCATGCTGCCATTAAATGTAAGCTATACATTAACTAATAAATAGTGATTACTGAAAAAGCCTATAATAAGAAGGCTGGCACGAGAAGCTTTGGTAAAGCAGTAATTCTCTAATGACATATCTGCTGTGTCCTTTCCGCTATCAGAGCTCCAGTCTATGAATGGATGTCTGCGTAATACCTTCTCTCTCTACATGTTATTACACACACAATTACCTTTCCTTTAACGACTTTCAGCCTTGGTAAATTACATTTGACAAGCAAGGACAGGGTTTGTATTATGGCCGTTTGGGTTTTTGTCAGTGGTAACAATTATGACTATTTTTACACTTTAGTCTCTAGCTTCTCTCCGATAAATATATTCCGCAAAAGACTAAAGTGTGGTTTTACATTTCTATTTAAATTTGATTTACTTCTCAGTGTGCAGATCTACAAAGGTTCAGGACCAGTCAAGCTCAAACATTCGCCACCCTGGAGAGGGGCTGTGATAAGCAGCATGGATGCCATTTCTTTTCCTCCGGCTGAACTGCAAACAACCAGAATTAATTCTCGAGACAATTGTTGAGGACACTTAATTAAACACACTATCCATTGTTCGTAACTGTGTTTGACATAAACCATTCGACACAAACTGGAGCTTTCAGTAACTTTCAAACACAGTGTCCTCAACATTAAAATAGGCAATGGACCTTGGTACTAAGATAGCATGTTGCAGCAGGATTATTGCCTCTTCCTTATCTATGACAAGTCAGGCATACAACTCATATGGGGGGCCTGTATTCACGACTCCAGCGACTATAAAAAGTGTCCATGAACTGCCAAGAGAGTCTCCTCAGGTTTGCTCCTGCGGAGAAGGAACAGCATTTGTCGAATTGTTTGTCGCTGTGATGTGGGATATTTACTGAAGCTAGGTTTCTGCCAAGGAACCAAACTGACTCATTTTCATTCTGGCAGTGAATTCAAGCTGCAGCAATACAATTACAGAATAATATGGCTGTTTGGGTCAATAAGCTCCTGTTCAAAAAGCACTACAGGTTTTACTTATTGTGCAATAACTGGGAGCCTAAGGTGTGCAAAATAAAGAGCACAATATTTATAAAAACCCTGCAAAAAGAGAATTGTTGGACTAACTTACCTGAATTGGTAACACACAAATGTTTTTTTAAATTAATTTCTGTTTTAATCTAACTTGTTTGCTGGATTTGAAAACAATTCATTTGTGTGTTAACATTTGAATACTTTTCTGTTGATTAACTATTTTCTTTTACTGAAATGCTATCTAGTAATTACTGTATGTCACGCACGAATCTAATCCTGTTTTGAAGAATTACATGGTATATTAAAATGAATATTCAAATACATTTCAGATCCTTTTTAAGAGATTTGACAATAATTTAATATTATTAGGGTTCAAAGTCCCTTCTGTTTGAAAGGGACCATGTCGATCCTTCTCTCCTCGACACTTCCAACACTTCAGATACATAAATGAATGTGCAACAGGACTGACATGCATGTTATTATATAAAAAGGTTACCAAAAAAAAACTGTCCAAGCCAAAGCTGAAAGTTCAAAATGATGCTTTACAAGCAAAGTATTACTACCCACAGGCATTCATTTAATTTAAAATGTGACAAATTGTTCTTCTTGAAATAGAAAGAAAGAAGTTGCGGTGACCTCTCTGCACCACCAGGCCTGTAGCTGAGGGAGGGGAGGTCCCTTCTATTTCTGTTGATTAGATTGCCACAGAGGACAACAGCTGCTCTCTCTAGATACCAACCTACAGCGCACCGAGAAGGATCGTACAGAATGCATACGCTCAAAACACACCACTTTATTCTCCTGGTACCAAAAAGGCATCAGCTGGTTAAGTCCCTATTGACAACAGCTTTTCTTTGTGGATAAAACACAACAGGCAAACTAACAGGTGAGAAGATTTATTTTCTGCTCACAAAGCAACTGAAATGCAGCAAAAAGGAAAACATACCATATAGTTACCCAGCCAGCAGAAAAGAACATTTTCAACCATTCAGAGTTGACTAGAGTGAGACAAGCTAACTCAAAGAAGTGCCAGGCAATAAAGCAGTAACAATAATTAGCACTATATTATTTCTCAATTAGAAAACACACCAATCAGCCATAACATTATGACCACCAGGGTGCCCAGGTGGTCATAATGTCAGACCACACGGGCCAGCCTTCGCTCCCCACGTGCATCAGTGAGCCTTGGCCGCCGATGACCCTGTCGCCGCTTCACCTCTTTTCCTTCCTTGGAACACTTTTGATAGGTACTGACAACTGCAGACCGGGAACACCCCACAAGAGCTGCAGTTTTGGAGATGCTCTGACCCAGTCGTCTAGCCATGACAATTTAGCTCTTGTCAAAGTTATTCAAATCCTCACACTGCCCATTTTTCCTGCTTCTCACACATCAACTTTGAGGACAAAATGTTCACTTGCTGCCTAATATATCCCACCCACTGACAGGTGCAGTGATAACCAGATAATCAGTGTTATTCACTTCACCTGTCAGTGGTCAGAATATTATGGCTGATCGATGTATGAAGAGGTTGATATTTTTTAGTATACAGCAATATTTTGTCTACAAGGACCAGTGTGAACAGACGCACAGGAAATGAAGACTGTAAGACTGTAGCTAAAGTGTAGGATAAGGGAGAAATTGAGAGAGTAGTCCCTGCCAAGTGTCAATTTCACTTAATTGGAATTCATTAAAATTTCATTCTTGGAGTTTTTTGGAAACCAAGGACAATATGGTGCTTTAAAATAAAGCTCATCCAGTAAAAGATGCAGATTTTTAAATGGCAAATTATGTCTTCTTCAATAACAAAAAGTGAGAATTTAACAGGAAAAATAATATTCTGGGATACATTAATACATACAAAGAACCAGGATATCTACCCATACTTATATATATTATACATATTAAAGTAGATTTACTCCAAGGACAGAGGTATTATTGCAGTTTCAAGCTGAAAGTGCCTCTCTGATATGATCAGTCATATTGCGTGGCACTAACTCAAGAGTAGAACATATTGAGGACACTGTTAGGAAAAATGTATGTATTCAG